GATGGAAACTTGTGATTTTTATAGACCTCTAATCGCAGATTCGTGATAGAGTCTCAATTCAGAATTCATTTCCACGCCCTGTATGATGAATGTCAATTTATCATTCACCCAAAATGACAATTTAATATTAATGATGATGATCCTCAACAAGCCTTTATAAAGTTACTTTGAGACGTTCTTAGGAATTCCAAGGATTGAGGCGTTCTATTTGTATTTCCATAGATAATAGGTTTATACATCACATTTATAGATATCAATTTCCAAATAGAATCTAAGCTGAATGAAGGATTGAAAATTTCAATCAATTGGTGAAAATTATTTATAAACTGATGTAGAATGAAACATCTCTGTGCTACATGGTGTTTCAATATTTGAGTGGAGAATTCAATGTTTGATTTCAGAAAATATCGAGAATAATTCCTCATGTTCGTTTTCCAAAGAGCAGTAATTCCCAGAGGTGTGGGTCGAGAAAATCAACTTTCTCAATATACCATGGAAAATAAAACCTACAATTCTCATAGGATAATGTTAAAACAACTTCATTTTGAGCTCCGACCTTTGAGTAGATAATCGAATGATAATCAGTATTCTTGGTATTGTATTATTTTTCAAGTCGTTCTAGGCTGTGTGGGGTAAAAAAAAAAAGGTAGTTCGCGGATCTGAATTTGTTTCTAATGTTCAGAAAGTTTTTCTACCCTTTGGTAAAAATAGCTTCTCATTCTCACGATGAAAACATTACATATTTTTCTACTCGCAACATCTACAAAAATCTTTTCGAGAATTCGTGTTTTGTGTTACATCCTTTTTTATCGGAACATGATTGGATAGATAGATAGATAAATAGATATAGGTTCTTTATTGCTCTCAAAGACATTACAGTCCTATAGCAATGATTCGGTTAATTGTGATGGTCACTTCACATGAATATGGGTATACTGCGAATAATAATAATTGTCACTATTCATATATGCAAATATAAACAGTTTTGATAAATAACAAAAATACGAACAGAATGAAAGAAGGAAATAAGGCAAAGTTGATGATATCACGAAGTGCTACTCGTTGCTTGAAAATGCTCTGGTTTTTAGAATATTCCATATATAGTTGGCGATATTTTTGCATTTAAGTGGAGTAAGATTGTCGATGAAGTCAATCAACGAGTGGCCATTCGGGAGATGATCGCCGTTTGGTATTCTGAGACTGTTGTAAATCGGACAATCGAACAAAATATGCTGCAATGTTTCTGCAGAATTCAAATTACAAGTTGAACATATCTCATTGAGATTTATTTTATATGAGTTTCCATTATAGGTGAAATTAATGAAATATTTATAACATATTGTCAACTGCGATATTGTGCGAATAATCTGAATGGGCAAATGGAAATGCATAGTTAGCCTCAGCTTTTGTGACAGTTAGGTGTTTATAAAATAGCAGAAATTCGAATCTCTGCAGGTGGGCGCGATCTTGTCCGTGGAGTTCACTATAATTTTTAGATAATAAATAAATTTCATGGGTTCTCATAGAGTGGGGGTTCATTTCAATCAGAAACTCTGAGTCGTCGATAAAATCAAAATGGTCCTCCACTTGAAGTGCCCTATTGTATTTTGGGTTAATATTCATTAGTGATATTTGCCTCAGAAAACACAATTTCGGAAGGCGACGGATGTCCATTTCAAGAATTTCGATGATCCAATTCAGGGTGAATTCAAAGATATTTTATAAAAACTTAACTTTTCCAGTTTCAAGCCTGACGATATAATCTGGTGAATTGAGTGGAAGTAGCAAGAGTCTTTTGAAGAAGTTCACCTGTACTCTTTCAAGGATGTCATGATATTTCAAACCCCAAACAGAAATACAACTCGTAATAACACTCACAATTGTTGCTTCAAAAAGTTTCATTCTGCCTTGCCATGAATTGATTTTGATCTTTGTCATTATGGGCAGTAATGCACCGATTGCTTGCTTGTTTTGCTTTATTGGCTGATGAAACTGCCATTTCACGAAAAATGAGGATGGGGTGAAACTCACTCCCAGGTAGACGTACTCATGTGTCATAGATATTTCGACATTGTCAAAATAAAATGTATATCCTGGGTAGTTAGTCCTACAAGCACCTTTAGAAAAACACATTATTTTTGTTTCATTGGCATTAATTTTCAATTCATTTTTGACGATGTATTCCTGATTCCTAGTTTTCTATCAATCAATCAATCAAAAATATGCTTTATTGTCTAAGAAAAATTACTTATTGACAAAGCGTTAGATTATACTATCACAAATAATGAGTTACCTGATAAATAGATATGTCTATTTCGTATTCCTAAAATTACTTTATCATCAGCGTAAAGAAGCATCGAGTAGTTTTCCATATCAGCGATGAATAGAGCAAATAGTGAAGGGCTCAAAGATTCATCCTGCAAAACACCTTGAGTGATGTCAAATGATTTGAAGCACCTATCTGAAGCTTTCACGGTCATCGCTGCCATTTCGTAAAGATTCTTAATTAGTCGGATTGAATAGGAACTGCCACAATAAACCATGACTAATAGAATCAAATGCTCTTCTGAAGTCCACAAAGAGAGCAAATACTTTATTAGACTTCAGACGAAGTTGAAGCTGGATAACAGAGTTCAGAACGAAAACATTATCGATACACCCCCTTCCTTTCCTGAAACCAGATTGGCATTCGGAAAGCATTGCAATGCTTACAGTCCAACTTTCGAGTCTGACTATAGTAAAATCTGAGTGAATACCTTGGCAAGACAATTCATCAGTGCAATTCCTCTCTAAATGGAAGGGTCATCGGTTGGTCCCGATTTATGTTACATGCTCATTTCAACATTGCCCCAACTCTGCGGGAGAAGTGCAGTTTCCAGAGTTTTATTGAATAAAGTGGTCATGTAAAGAATTCAGTTATTAGGGAGGTGTTTCAAGAACTCGTAAGTGATATTGTCTGAACCAGGACTTTTATTTTTACATCTGTTCAACACCTGGTAGACTTCAGCAGTTGAGATAGAAGTATCCAAATATGGATTCAGAACATCAAAAAAAGTGACATCGTGAGGAACTCTAACTGGATGAACCTTGTCATAAAAAGATTCCCAGAAGGCAAGTTACATTGAGAGCAATTACCTCTGAATCTGTTTATTGTATTCCAGAAATTGTTCGGGTTCTTCACATTAGATAGTTGCTCTTGAATCAACTTTTGATAATCAGAGCGTTTTGATTTGACTACTTTCTTGTACGCACGCTTCGATTCAAGAAATTTGTTTTTGGAGGGAGAAGAAAAGTTTTCTCTTCTACATATACGAAGGTTTATGTTGAGTTGATTCTCGAGAGAAACAATCGTGATCGAACCATGGATTACGAGGTCTAATAGCTCTTCGAGGAGCCATCCTCTGGAAGCCAAGAGTGTCAGCAGTTTCGTAAATAGCTTCACAGAGATTTCCGTGCGCTAGATGGGTGTCGAATGCGGAAGTTATTCTAGTAGAACGTTGCATCATTAATTTGTGAGTTAGGGCAATTTTTTCATCGATACATAGAATTTTACTTTGTGGGCAAATTTCAATGTTTGAGTTCACATTGTGCATCGCAAGTACAGCATTATCTGTCCTGAGAGATAGTGATAATGGATAATGATCAGAAAGACTAATATGATTCAAAACCTGCAAACCATCTACATTCCGTAGAAAACTATTATTCACCCATACCAAGTCATTCATACTGTTACCAGCAGTAGCCACATAGGTGAATTCAGCTGGCCGATCAAAAACTGTTCTACTATTCAAGAGGGTGAAGGAATTGCTGAATATAGAATGCAATAGTTTACGTCCTCTTGCGTTAACTAAAGTATCGTAGGAAAGAACATTTGCATACAGATTAGTATTCTCAAGAGCCTCTGCAGGGGTAACAGCAGCGTTACCAATACGACAATTGAAATCACCTGCGATTATTATAAGGGTAATGTCATAAGATTCAGTGACTTCAGTAAGAGAGACCTGCAGAAGCTCTAGCAAATCACCAATATCTAGAGATGACTTGAAATGAATATTACAGATAATAAATTGAAAGTGAGATAAAGTAATCAATTAAATAATCCACCAAGGGGATTTTTCGGTGAGTTTTGAGTTATACATAGAATTGCTATGAAGAACACATAACCCACCACTCGCTCTGCCAAAGGATTTTTTTCATAGCAGGTGATATAACTGAACAATGAGCTTCACTGAAATTCACATTGTCTCTAACTAACCAGGTTTGACTCGAACAATTAATTTGGGAAGAACTTTGGATGTACTCATCGATAAAATCCTTGATAATGTTGAGCCCTTGGCAATTCCAGAGTATTATTGATATTGGTTGCTAGGATTGGGTAGTGGATGACGGGGTTTTAGATATCTTGATACCCGAGTTCCTCCTTGGTGAAACTTCTTCTTCCTCTCTGCTTCGTTTATGTTTCTCATGAACAGGTTTAGTTACTATTTCAGGTACTTTATCCAGATACTCAATGGTAAAATTAGTTTCACCTCTACTTATTCTTCCGTTAAGGTCAGTTCTCAGTTTTTTTAATTGACTGTTCTGAGAAGGTGTTGAGTCAGGTTTCACACGAACATTTAGGAATCTATTTCTGGGAATATTAGCTTTCTTCTTCAAAACGGTGCTATTTCTGGAGATGTTAAAACAACTTTGAGCAAACGAGGTGTATCAGTCGTAATAGAGTGATTTCCTAAGCGGGAAACATCGAGCACGTGACAAACTGATTCAGGAACCAAGCCTTCAAGCACTATCTTAGTTTCTTTCATGTCATTCTCAGGACTACTTTCAGGTATACCGAACAAAATAAAAATTTTTTCACGCTTGATACGTTCAGTAGAACATGTTTATCTCACGATATGTGCCGAGCTTTGGGAAATTCACTGTGGTATAAGATCATACAAAACAGTACAATTTAAAAATCATCATGTATAAGACATCGTAATAATGTTTGGGTGACTCACCTGTCCAATAGGGTATCCCTTCTGGCAGCCTCCATAACTTTCGGCGAACACTTGCACGCGTCTTTATCGGACATCTTCTTCCTTCCTTTACCTTTGCCACCCTTGCCGGCTGGGTTCGGCGAGGCCCTGTGACTTTTGCCAGCTGCTAGGAAAAGCGTGACACCCCTGATGACGATGGCACCGCCGCGCATGCTGAGTTTCTTCGGGGAGCCTGGCGGTTGGGCCTGTTTGGAGGGGACCGGCGACTTCTTCCCTTTGTCCATATCACGGTCTCTGAGAATGTTACAACTGAGAAATGATTGAGAATTGAGAACGATGAAAATATTTGAAATCTAACATCAGATTTCAATATCGCACCGCGAAGAAATATATCTCGAATGGATTCTCAATATAAGTGATATACAGGGTGAGTCATGACTAAGCAGCTGTAACCTAATGGCGGATAGAGGAAATCAGAAATAAAGGGCATTATTTGTACTCGGGGCGAATCTTTGATGAACGATATTCCACGAACGCCTCGATGTTATCGTCTGAGAATGGCCAGCAACTTACCTCCAATAACACTACAAGAGAAAAAATAGTCCAGAGACAGACTTGGTGAATTCATTTTCTTTAAAATTGTCATAATTTTGTCTTCCTGGGTCATATTTTCAAAAACTCTCATCAGAATCAGAAAGATCAGAAAAAACACTACGAGTGCAGCTTTCCAATGTGTACGGCATACTTCGACCGATTGGGTAAAAAAATTCAAACAAAATACTATTGAATATTTCTTCGATTCCGTTTGGGCAAATTACTCTCTGAAATCATTTTGTTTGCTTATTGATATACCAGCAAAGTTGAGGATAGGTTATTTTTTTCAATAAAAAAATTTAGGACTGGTTTCAATTTTTGAAAAAACTGCAAAACAATTATAATTTTTGGAAAAACTTTGTCTATACCTAAACAATCTTCTCGAAATATCCTTCTCCAATTTCTGCACATTTTCAGCATCTCTTCAGGAGATCTCTCATGGTTTTTAGTATAATTCGCCTATTATTTCTTATCATATCTGAATCTGTAACTATCCTCTCCCTCAGTTCCTCTCTGATGTTGACTTCAGTGTGATATACCAATCGTTTCATATGTCCCTATAGATAATAGTCTAATACTGTTGGGATACCTAGAAGACCAAGAATGAGGGCCACCACGACCTATCCAGCGATTAGAGAATTGGGTGTCTGGGTATTCTCTAACTTGCATTGAGTGATGTGGAGCTGCCATATCCTGTTGAAATGAAATACTTCTTCCAATCCATTCGCTTTTATCCATAACAGCCTTCTTTTTTATTGCTGTCTGAATCATGACAACACCAAATTTAATTCCCTGATTGAGGGAGTTCACATGCAATGAGATCATATCATTCAATAGTTCTTCAAGAGTTCCTCTAAGTAATATTAGTAGGCATGTATATCTGATTCGGATAAAAATCTTTCACCTAAGCGATAATTCCTGATATTGAGTATGATGTTTCCACATTTCCACATGTAGAAGCAGATTTCAATTGGAAACTAGTCATGTCCATATTTCAAAGGTCTTTTCCAGAAAATCAAGTCCGGTCCTGGATTTTTTTCATCGAAAAGAGTCTCTTCCCAACTCTCATGATACACTGATATGGGAGGAATGGATTTCTATAGTAGGCCATCTAACGGAGTATCTGGAGAGGTTAGTTGCTGATGAATTTCAGGCGATAACATGGAGAAGTTGCTGAAATATCGTTCATCGAAGTTTCGCACCGAATACAAATGATGCCCTGTATATCTGTCTATTCGCCGTTAGGCAATGGCTGGTTAGTCATGACTCACCCTGTAATTACCAGGATTCCGTGAGAGAATTGAAGTTTCCATGAATATGTAGGGTCTTGAATGAATTCCCATTTCCAAATCATTTTGAAATTCGACGATCAAACTGACCCATGTCTGCATAAGACGTTTTCTTTTTTTCTATCGATTGGTGCGCAAGACACGAGGTAGGTGTTGGAATTTATTTTGAACTCTTGGATATTATAAGTTGTTGGAAATATTTCCTCAGGCAATGAATTCCATAGCTTCCACGTTCTATAGGGAAAGGAGTTTTGATATAAGAGGATGTGCTGACTGTGCTTGTCGAGTTCGTCTGGCTGATATTGATAGTCGTGGAATGATATCAGAGATTTCTTAAGAACATTTCCCGTGGAAGTATCTATAGAGAAGTGAAAGGTCGCCAACCTTTTTACGGTGTTCCAATTATGTTTTCACCGCGCATAGATATAGTGCACTTGGTGGGAATGTTTGTATCAGACATTGTTATATCAAGCATACTGAGTTCCGCCTTTCTAAAGAAAATACAGGCTTGAGTTTTCGCGACGTTGAATTCAACTAGGTTGTTCGTTCCCCAGACTGTGATTTTGGCAAGATCTTCAATGACAGCAATGACCTGCCTTCACCGTGAGTTCTCAGTTTTCTGGAAAAGAATGGGAATTCTGAAAAAAAACGGAGTAGGGAGAGTACTATCATCTGCAGAACTGTGGATATAGGGCAAGTGGTTGCTCCCAACCTGTGGTGTTCTCTTCAAGATTTCAAAATATTGTGAATGGTGAAGTCACCCTGGTTATGAACATTTATAATTCACTGAAAAAGATTACACGAACAGAAAATATGTTGATTCAATGTCAAGATCAATTCGAACAAACGAATTGACGATGGAATATTTCCCAATGAAACGATACTCATTCACTGTCAGAACCATCAACATTGTGGTGATTTCACTTTCAAATATTCGAAATGATGACGGTACCAGAGCCAATGCGAGTTATAATAATTATTTTATTAATATTATTCATAATCGGCAACGCAAACGAATAATTGGTGAAACCCAAAATCCTTTCAGAGCATTCAGAATCTTGGATGGAATCTGAGAGCATGAGCATATTATGTTTGGGTACTGAATTTCATATATACGAACAGTATTCTGAAACTTGCCGTATCTGTGCTTTGCAGATCATGAAAAGCTGCTGTGGTGTAAAGTAGATGTTCGCACGGAACAAGAATCCGAGTATTGCTGAAGCAGCTTTTGCGTTGGAACGAAAGTGACTTTTCCATGAGAAAGTATTGCTGATGGTGATATCGAGCATATAGTATGTTCTAGGTGGAAATATTGATACCAGACATTGATGAATCTGACATACTGAGTTCTGCCTTTCTTAAGAAAATACAGGCTGGAGTTTTGATTCAACTAGGTTGTTGGTTCCTCAGGCACTTTTTTCCAATTGATCTTCATTGATAGCGTTGGTCTGCCTTTGTCGTGAGTTCTTAGTTTCCTAGGAATGAATGGGAATTCTAGAAGAGAACGCAGTATAGAGAGTACTATCGTCTGCAATGCTGTGGAAAGGGCAAGTGGTTGCTTCCAATTGATCGTTGATATGAAGTAGGAACAATGGTATTGGTGCCAAGATCGATTTTTGTGGAACTCCGGAATCGAGGACAATAGTATCAGACGAAACTTCGTCCACCACAACATGAAATAGTATAACCTTGTCAACTGTCAAAAGTCAAGTCAATCATTTCCATATCGGCTATTTGCTATTTTTGTCTGTTGTCTTGTTGTCGATGTTGTCTATTATGGGGTTAACAGATAACTGAGTATTATCAGTAAATATATAGATTTTCAGCCATTCATCCGTAGTTATCAAAATAAGATGGAAACTCAACAAATTCTGGCCTGGATCGAATTCAAATGAGTTTCCAGGTTAGCTCTGATAGAATATAGAAACGTCCAAGAGCTAATAAAGCAATAATGAGATACAACTACTACGAGGTAACCAGACAAAAAGAAGGAGTTAGTGAATACGGATTGTTTTCCTACTCACTAACTCTTTGAACCTATTAGAACACCGTAGAAATGTCGATGACCATTCACTTTTCTATAGATACTCTTACGTGAAATGTTCCTCTGAATTCTCTGCCATAATTTTATCACTAGCAATACCAATCAGACGAACTCGACAGGCCCAGTCCGCACATCCCTTCGTCGTTAACCTTGGAAAATGTCGAACAACACTCCACCAAAACTCCTTTGTCTATATAGAACGGGAAGCTTTGGAATTCTTTGCCGATAGGAGTATTTCCAAGAACGTATAATCTCCACCCACCTATAACTCCTCTCCATATCCTTCCCACTAAACAATTTCAACTTGCTGCAACTTTGTCCAACGGATGTCCTAAGGATGTCCTCCGTAGTGCTTGATGAAGAATACTGTAGGATTTAGGTATTCGATAATTGTCCCAGGGACATCCCTAAAGGACATCCCTAGTTGGTCCTCAAGTGGGACATTTGTGCGTCCCACAGACGTTCAATGGATGTCCACGGTACCAAATCCGAACGTCCTATGGACGTCCTGAATGTCCCGACAGGACGTCCCAAGGATATCCATGGGACATAATTGTGTTATTAGGGAAGGGTTCTCATTCGTTCGCCAAGTTAGAAATATTGAAAGACTGTGAACTCAGTTCGTGCCGTGAAGAAATAATAATTGAGAAATTGATTATTTTTGATAGGATCAATGTATAATTCACACACAATACGCTACTGACTACGTCATTATCACTATTCATGGGTTGATTGTCCAATCTGATTTTCAATTATCGAGTAAAAGCTTTCTCATAAAAGCAGGTGGTGGAAAGCTGATTTAGGGGTATTTTCAGTGTTGGGGTTTTCTGATTGAAACCATATGATATATCACGAAACGATAGAGCTAACTGTACATAGTTCCGTTAATGTCCATTTTGGGTGTTTTAAGTACGATCAAACATGCAATTGATTGGTACCAGTCAATCATTCCTCTCTTACATGAATACCTGAACTGCTGATCGATCTTCTTCTGTGTCTACAGTGGACTAACAAATCACAGAAAGAAAATAATAAATGATAGTGGATAACAAATATTTACGGACTGAAATATGCCAATCAGTATATGCATTAGTGAGCTGAGACAATGCGTTATTCGAGTGTTATCCTACTGCATCCTTGATTCGGCGACTAGCAAAACATCGACGGATGAATGATTCATTGCGTAATCACTTTCAATATTTTCCAGGATCTTGAATCATCTCATTATGAATATTTCTTCAATGAGGAGATCATCAATACGACACTTGTAAACGAAAACTACCTTCGGAAATGGTGATTTTAAGTAAATATATTGTTATGGGGTGTATAGTTTCACCACAAATCTCCAAGAACGGAAACTGTGATATATCTCAAACGTTTAGGCAACCACCAATATATTCAAGAATATATAGTGACTGAAATCTATGATCTACAGAAGGATAGAATCTGGATGGCTTACTGTTTTTGTCGATGAGTTTGAGTTCATGTATTGGTTCCTGTCACAGTTTTGAGGTACTTACCCATAACAGAAAGTAGGGTTCTTGAAATAATAGAAATAATATGTGTAAACGTACTACATAGATCCTGGAGGAAGCGAAACGGTTCATGACATCACAGGTAAATTCATAGAATATTCATAGAAGCACACGTAGGATCATCCAAATTTTCTCATAATATTTTTAAAATACACTCCGATTATCCTGAGCACATTGTATAGACATTCAAAGTGTACTAAGTCTCATATTTTTTGAAGATTCTCGGAATATTCTTGAGGACTTTTTGAGTTTATTAACAATTATTCACAGCAGATTAGTGAAATGAAAATGTGCTGATGATGATAGGATTTCAATCCATCAGTACCTCCGACGTTTCAAGATTTTCTTACACATTTTTCGCGATTATGCCCAGGTAGCACAGGTTCATTCTATGGATATCTGATGGATATTTGTGAGGGAGATTCCAGATATCCATAAGATATCCCGTTAGGTATGTAGGATGTCCTAAGGACGTCCAAGAGATATATAGCGGCCACCAAATTGAACATTCATAAGATATTCATCAAAGATATTCATAAAATATCCGTAAGATATCCATTATATAGAATATGAAAATAAAATCTGATTGTGAATTTTGATGGAACATTGAAGAATGTCTTCGAAAGTTCATGATAATGGAATATCTGTAATGCAATTCAATTCACAATGTATGACTCCATATCACATCACATATAAACACAATAACATATAGAAAGGTACCATTATCTGTCTGAGCTGAGTCTAGATCATTGAAGGCAGCTTGAGAAGAAGCAATAAGCTACATATTGCATTTTCATTGGGGTAACAATCTATAAAATGTCCTTCAGTAGGTGGGTATCTGAAAATGAAATATGATGCTGTTTCAAAATAAAACAGATAGGTTGTAATACCGTTCCAAACCTGAAGAATTCTAGAAATCAGAAAGATGAAATTAGTATAACGGGTTTCATACCATTATGACAAATTCGAGAATACTTTCAGATGAGATGAACTCCTTTCAAACAAAAATGGAATACCCTAAAAACAAAGCATTTGGGTAGAGGAAGGTTCGATTTGAATTACTATAATACTAACTAGACATTAGCACCATTTCTCAAGAGCACTTTTGCTTGAACCACTTGCTTGGGTTCTGAAGAAAAACAGTCAGTAAAACGTAAAACAATAGGTGACCTAACAAATCGTTTACTCACTGGTTAAGTTAGTTATTCACTTCACATATTAATTCACAGACCTATTTCAGAAAGCTTTAAAAATGAGAAAAGTTTCGTTACTTCATCAGTTTCCAAAGAACATCGAAAACTCGAACACAAAACACATAACCACAATCGAAACATAAACAACTTTAAGCTTGACAAGAATGGCGTCGAGATGAATTCGATTTTCGCTTTTCTGTCTCGCTGTCTGATGCTCTCCTCTTCTAGTACTCGATCGTGATTGGCGGCATGATTGCGCGGTAAATATAAAAGGTTTATCGTATATATCATTCAAGTAAACACGGAATCATGATATATTCTCGTGAAGATTGAAACTGAAAAAAATAAATAAATCTGTGTGTAGTATATTATCTGATATTTTATAATCAGTATTTTTATGTTGATAACAAGAAAATAATAATGATGAATGAAATTTGAATTCCTGATGAACATGTGATACATGTGATTTTCATGTGATATTTGTGAGAATTCATTCCAAATTGGTATTTTTTGTTCGACAAACGAACACCTTATGGGCGTCCATAGGATATCCATTCAGAATACCCTCTTGTTATATGCTGATGGATATCATATGGATATCCTTTTTATGTCCAAGGATGTCCCTCCTTGAAATGGATTTGAAACGGATATCCGTAGGATATCCTGTGCTATCTGGGTGTCGAAACTACTGGCAACATTTTAATGAAATTCTGAATGGATATGTTCTAGAAGCTGGCACAAGGCATGAATATGTTTCAATATTTGATTCTCATAGAGGGCGCTAGTTACACGGTGTAACTACTAACTAACAAGACATTTACCCACCGGCTGGTCATTTCCCGGCAGCATTTTTCCGTTTCCTATAAGGCAAGCGCAACCAGGTGCACTAATCGTATAGGAAACGGATGCATGACAATTAAATCCTTCCCCTAAGTGGTTCACGCACCTCACATATTCAGTAAGCATGAATATCACACTGAACTTTCTCACCACTAACCAAACTGATGTTTTTCATGAGCCCCTTGACACGTAATTCGCCTTTTATGTTAGCATTATCTGGAGGAGTATAACTGAATATCCCAATCTACTATGCTTTTTATATATTATAGGTATTCTCATTCAGTCGTGAAAGACACTAACTGGCAGTCTCCGTCTGTCAAGGTTGAGTTCACATGTTAATTTTTTTCTGAATCACTCAACAATACATGGAATAGATCCATTATCCTTATTCATATCTCTAGTACCATTCTCAAATATTTTTAAGCTTCCATATGCATCCTTTTTCCTGACATAATCAACTTGTTCCACTGATTGGAGCTTAGTGATATGTGTGTTATGATTGAGATTAAACTCATTATTATGTTCTGCCACACAAAATTAATCTAACCCACCATATATCGAATGTGCTGACTGTTTTTTGAACCAAGTTTTCATGAGTAGCTTTGTATTGCGTCTTCTCCATCTTTCGGATTGCCTTACTTTGAACCAGTCTCTGAAAGCATGACTTATGATATATGGTAAGACGAGTGGATTAACGTGAGCAATAGCTCATGATTTTGGTTGAAGGATTTCATGTATACGGAATATCCCTAGACACTCATGTTCCGATTTCAAAACCACACCTTATCTCCGACATTTTGTTAAAATAGTGTATTATTACTGGATTAAATCATGAAGATGAGAACTCCATGCGCACTTATCTACTTTGGTTCTGAAGATATGGAGTCATTCCCTTTGCAACCCTCTCCTAACAAATTTTAAGTGCATTATAAATTGATATTAACTTGGTTCTTATCGAACCACAATTATCGTGTTCAAATTTTCTTTCAATAGTAGATCACTAAGTTTCGTGAATTTGTTAGATTTCTATACTTTGACAATCAATTTTGCAGAACATTCAAAACTTCAGGCATGCGTACTGTCTTTTTTTTGTTCAAATTCTGCAACTGCGTTGACATACAGAATCTCTTCTGAATTATTGAAGATTCGATGTTCAATCAATTGTGTTTTTGTCACATCAAGAAAATTATTGATTTCATCACTTCCATTGCGATACGACTTCAATAGCACGAACAGATCAACGTATTAACGTATCAACGTAATAATCAGCTCTTTATAGTATCGTGCACATCTAATAGTTGCATAACATTGGTCAACCACTCAAGAAACGAAATTACAGGTCTCGTACTCGCTTTCTACACGAGTAGCGCACCTGGTTGCGCTAGCCCTATAAAGGGAACGAAAATATGCTTTCCGGCAGGAGTATTCTCAGGCCCCTACCTGCAGAGCATACGTTCAGGAGGTCTAACCATCATATATACTAGGCTTGATGTCTCTGGTGTACCAGGTACTTTTCATATTTCTGGCTGTATCCCGCAGTTTATAAGTCCAAGGTGACATCCTTTTATGTATCACCAAGGGTCCGACATCCTTGAGAGCTAACTTCTGGTTGAATACTTTGCTGCATCTGGAAGGACGTGATTATGCTTCCTGACCAACTGATTCAGGAAGTACTCAGCGTTCCAACGCCTGAGATTATATTTATCGCACGCATCTTTCCCAGCTACCTCGAGGCTTTCGCGTACTTCCTGAATCATCTTCTTGAAAGACTCATCCTTACTACCGTCACACTCCAATGTTTCCTCATCGATGTTTTTTTCTCTACTTGACACATAGTCTGCTTCTCAGAGTTTCATGTCCCTACCAAAGTTAATGAAGAATGACGTAAGTTTGGTTACCCTATGTATCTATGTTCGGAGAGCACACCCGATTTCAGTGAGACTTTGATCTAAACTCCGATGGTTGTCTGACACATACATGGCCAACATGGTCTTGATTAAACGATTCAGCCTCTCAGTTGGATCGGCCCGTGGAAGATAATGAGCATTGAACCTGGTAGGACACTGATAGCTTTCCGCAAATCAACCGAATTCCTTACTCCGATATTGTGGTCCATTGTCACAAATTATCACCTCAGGGACAGCAAATATCAAAAATACCTCATCTTCCAACTTGCAGATGATGCCTCTTTCGTTGTTGGAAATACTTCCACAGGCAATGAATTCCAGAGCCTAGCCGTTCTATGGATGAAGGAGTCTTGATAAAGTGCTGTTCGACATGTTTCGAGGTTGGAAAAATTCAAGTCCGAATGTCCCGGACGAAAAATAAGTGTTCTCGGGACATCCCATCCCTTACATATCATGCAATATCCGAGCAAGGACGTCCTTGGCATGTCCCTGATGGGATATGATTTTAAACGTTCCTTCAGGGACATTCATCGGATGTCCCGAATAGTAAATATATTCTGGCATGACTTCAGATCTTTTATAATGTCTCTTCTAGACAATCATGAAATGTCCCTGATGGTACATTCCTTCAAATATCTCTGCACAGACGCCCTCAATATTTTCAGGATCGTATAACGATCGAAATGTCCCTTAGGGACATCCTTCGAATGTTCCATAGGGATATCCGTCAGATGTCCCAATTGGTACATGAACTGTACTCTCCCAATGTCCTAGAAATAACGTCCTACGGACGTCCAAGTCGGTACTTTCAATATGTTGTCCCTGCGAAGACGTTAACTTACACCTCGCCGACGAATGATTGCTCGTAGGCTTTAAATACTCCCCGTCAATGTCCTTCACGTGAGTCCATTGGACATCCTTGGTTAACTCTTTCAGGATCTATTGGGGACCTTCTACGGACCATCAACTCAACTAGATGTCCTCATCAGTTATGCAAGATTTGGTTCTAGAGGGACCCAGGAAAATCCAAATTCGAGAATAATTCGTACGTCCCTGGAACATCCTATAGACATCCAATTGATATTCCTCAGCGTTGCTGATAGTTTGTCCTACGAATGTCCTAAGGATGTCCTCCGTAATGCTTGACGGGAAATACTGTAGGATTTAGGTATTCGATAGTTGTTCCAGGGACATCCCTCAAGGACGTCCTTAGTTGGTCCTCAAATGGGATATTTGTGCGTCCCACAGACGTCCAATGGACTTCCATGGTATCAAATTCGAACGTCCTATGGACGTCCTGAATGTCCTGACAGGACGTCCTGAGGATATCCATGGGAGATAATTGTGTTATTAAGGACGAATTACCACGTTTTGACTTTCGTAAGAGACCCATCAGGTCAGTGAAAATCATCTCCCAGGGCCTGTCCACTTTCGGATTCGAAATCATCTTATCGTAGGAAGATCAGTGCACACCTTATAAGCTGCGCAGACAAAACAACGGCAGACATATGCTTGGAGATGTCGACCCTCATTTTAGGCTAATAATATTGCATAGTCATTCTCGCCAGTGTCTTGTGAACTCCAACATGACCAGAAGTTGGAGGTAAGAGGTTCAGTGAGGTTCAGTAAGTTCAGTAAGGTACAGAAGTTCAATGATCGCCTGATGAAGCAAATAACCCTATTGCCATCCGGATACGACTGAGTCAGGATCGCTTATTTTCTTAAACATTGTTCAGTTCCTATTTCAACTCTGATCACCTCCTACCTCTCTGTCAATGATTCTATTTATAAATCACAATCTGTATGCAGTATGTAAATGAAAATTATCAACTCCTTCTTCGTTAATGTTCAAGATTTTATGTCTATTTGATTTTATTTTCGATATTTGGATTGATGTTCATGTCGAACTTGTCATTTTGTCAATTTCTATCTTGGTATTTTATTCCGTCAAAACTAACCTTATTGTTCGCACATGGGTAATAGTTCTCAATACATAAGAGTAATTGTATGATGTTTCATTGTTCTTCTTTATAGGTAAGTACTTGTTTCTTGTCTGATAGTGACCTTAGTACCGAAACTAGTTACACTGCTTTTCAAGTGATATTTTATTCGTGGTCGACCGACTCTGGGTTTTTTGTCTTCTCCTCTCATTAGTCATGGTATGGAATATCACGAATTCCAATAATAATTTGAGAATTATAGGTTGCTCTCAGGTTTGTGACAAAGAACTAGTTTGAGTTTTCACCTATTTCGATATGATGAATTTCAATTTTTCAGTGATACTGGTTTATTTTTTTTAATTCCGATTGCTACCT